GTAGAGGCATCAGGCCGAGTAGAGGCTTCAGGCCGAGTAGAGGCTTCAGGCCGAGTAGAGGCATCAGGCCGAGTAGAGGCATCAGGCCGAGTAGAGGCTTCAGGCCGAGTAGAGGCATCAGGCCGAGTAGAGGCATCAGGCCGAGTAGAGGCATCAGGCTGCATACAGGCATCAGGCTGAAGAGAGGCATCAGGCTGCGTACCGGCATCAGGCTGAAGAGAGGCATCAGGCCGCGTACAGGCATCAGGCCGAGTACAGGCATCAGGCTGAGTAGAGGCTTCAGGCTGAGTAGAGGCTTCAGGCTGAGTAGAGGCTTCAGGCTGAGTAGAGGCTTCAGGCTGAACCACGGAAGGCAGGCTCTCCGGTTTGGATACTGGCAGGATGGTATTGGTTGGAAAGAATTTTCGCTTTTTTCTGGTTTTAACTACTGGAGCACTGCAAGTAAACGCAGGTCTGCAAACGAATGGAGCAGCTGGAGACAGAGAAGAACTGGAGGATGGAACAGGAGAGGGAGCAGTTGCTACAGAGGGCTTTTTTACAGGGTTAAAGGCAGGATAGGTGCAGCGAGTGGGAACAGGGTACTGACATGCGGTAGATAGCCAAGTATACTGGGCTGTAACTGGAGGAGCTGGTGGGAATACAGGAGTAGAGTTAGAAGCAGGACTGGGTTTTTGTAAGCTGACTGAGGCTGGGTGCAACAAGTCTGTCCATGTCTGCAGTATGGGTTGAACAAAGCTGAGCTTACACAAAGCCTGTCTGGTCAATGACTGCACTGCGTTTATACAATCTCTTAGTGTCTGTGGTGAACATGCAGAATAACGCTCCAGAAAGTAACCCACATCATCCTCTAATAACCACACCAGGGACTCTACCTGGTCTGCACTAAATGGTGGCAAAAATTCATCCCTGCATTCGGGGGTACCAGATGAAACCAACTCTGCACAAACCTCAATCAAAGGCTGCACCTCAGAGAACTCTGTGCCCTGATCTACTAGAACATGAGCGAGCCGTATACATTCTAGCAGTTCATCCCGGGTATACTCCTTCAGAGTTTGATAAGCATACTCCCTGTCATCAAACACTAGCAGATATAAATACGCAACCTCATCCAGATCCATCCTTCCCATCAACAAGCCAAGATGGCTTCCCTGTGCAGCCACTTCTGGTCAGGATTGGCCTTGGTGTAATGTCAGGGCTCCCAGGTATGACCAGAGGTGTGTGACTGAAGCAGGGAAACGCAGACTTCAGATATGTGATTAACAATGTAATTTATTAACACTAACAATACAAACATAAACGCAGTGCAATACTAAACATAATACAGTGCAAACAAACCCAACCAACCACCCACAGATAACAGTACATACAAGCAAGCGTCGTCAGGCAGGCCGAGTCAATATCAATTGGGCAGGTAGGTACAGGGGGAGCAAGCGGAGAATGGTCGGGGTCACAGGCCAGGTTCAGCAGGTAGCAAGCAGCGTAGTACAGAGGGTCAGGCAGAGGGATGGTCAGGGTCACAAGCCAGGGATCAGAACAGGTAGCAAAGGAACAGAAACAGGATGCAGGACAGATACAGGGCCCAGGACAAACACAACACCAAGGCAGAGTCTGCAAGTCTGGCCATCCCTTAAATACACCAGTATCATCAGTTCCAGGTGTTAGCTGGGCTGAAAAGGTTGAGTCTCTGATTGCTGGGAGCACCCGCTGGCCAGCCCTGGTACTGCAGATCAAAAGGCAGGTGAGTCCCACCATTGCTGGCCAGTCCATTCCTGACAGATACATTGAGTTCATTTACCACTAAACGGTCTTGTGTCTATTTCCTGGTACTAACTCAAAACCAAGTTACATGTATCTATACCTGTGTACTTGCAGTGACTTTCATTAAACAGGTATGTCAGAGGGGCTGGGGTTGTTATTGTGGTCGAGGTGCAAAACCAGAGGTGTAGCTTGAAGGTTGTGGACCCCGATGCAAAAATTGACCTGGGGTCCCCCACTACTTTCCACCATGCGCCAACATGCTCCCACTGCATGCCAAGATATGATAGCTGTATGGGGGTTGTCTCTCTTTTCTCTCTCTCTCCTGCTGCTGTCTGCACATGCACACAAGGTGATGGCAGGCAGGCCATACTCTGAGCTGTCAGGTGAAAGCAGTAGGTTTTATGTAAAAGAAGAAAACTCAGCAGGCCCTCCGACTTCCAGATCCACATACAAGTCCTCCGCTTTCACCTCACAGTGTGGCCTGCCTGCCCCCACCTTCTGTGCATGTGCAGGACTGAGCAGGGGCGGGAGGGGAGTACTGTACTTGGCTGGGTGGGGGGACTGATCAGAGAGTGTGCCACTACAGATATCACAATTTGTTTTTTTTAAACACCTTTCTTTCATATGATATTAAACAGCACCCAGTTACCTCTTTCATACCCAGGCTGCAGTGAAATGGAGGTGCAGGATATTAGGGAAGTAACACCCCTCTTACTGATAATGACACATGCCCTCTTGCCTCCTCTTGATCTTGACAGATGACCCCTTCTTTAAGAGCCCCCCACTTCAACTAATCATAGATGAACCCCTCCTCATGTAAATACAGATGACTTCTCCCCCTGGTAATGACACATATCCCCACACCAGGTAATGACAGATGACCCCCTCCCCCCACACCAGGTAATGACAGATGGCCCTTCCCCCCACCAGGTAATGACAGATGACCCCCCCCCCCCCACCAGGTAATGATATATGACCCTCCTCTCCCACACCAGGTAATGACAGATGACCCCCTTCCTCACCAGGTAATGACAGATGACCCCCACATCAGGTACCCTCCTCCAAGTAACAACACATGGCCCCCCAGGAAATTACTGATCCCCCCCCACACACCATCCTGGCAATGTCACATTACCACCCCCCATGCTGACAATGACAGATTCCCCATCCAGCTCCTCATCTACTCATCCTGCTTAAACTGTCACAGTAACATCTGCAGCTTCTGGAGCCATCAGCGCCTTGGGGGTCTCTCAGGAGGTGTTACAGGATTTTGTGAGAAATTTTGTGTTAGTGTTAGCAGGAGTTGTGGGGAGGGGTGGGGCAGTATGTGTGTGTTCTCTGCATGGATCCGACCAGTATCTTTTTACCTCCCCAATGACAGCAGTACCAGCTCCTGGAAGGGGTGGGGCAGTATGTGTGTGTGTTCTCTGCATGGATCCGACCAGTATCTTTTTACCTCCCCAATGACAGCAGTACCAGCTCCTGGAAGGTGCTCTCCTCCTCCTCCCTCGCTCAGTCTGGTGACAGCTCAGTGTTGGAATGTTATTACAGAACTGGGGATAGGGATGAGAAATTTAGTAGGATAGTCCAAAATTAGAACTATTCACAGAAAGGACATCTAGCTGATCTCTGAACTGAGCACTATTGAAGTCCTGGCTGTAAGTAGATAGCAAACGTGTCTTTAGTTTGTAGCAACAAGTAGTTTAGGAGTTAGCAGGGTCTCTTTTTTCAGTTGTAGTAGTTATAGGGCTGAGCTTTTCAGATCCAAACCAGTTACTAAAAACTGCAACAGCCCAAAGGTAACGTAGCTGAGCAAAGTCCTATGCAGTGGCAACAGTTGGACCAGCTCTTCAGAACACAAGCCAGTGTTCCCTTTTTTTTCTCATACCCAAGCTGACTATCAAGCACCAGAGGGATAGGAAAGCACACAGAGTCCCCAAGATCTCTCAGTGTCTGTACTCACAAGGCCCAAGGACAGAATTGTAGCTTCCTTCCAATCTTCCAAGCGAAACTCCCCAGTGATACCAGATGGATATTTGGCAGACAGCTCTCCAGCAGGAAAGATACTGAACCCATGTGCTCACAGAACATAAATATCACTCCCAGCATGCAATGGGGCTGCCCTCACCTGCAATTGGCCAGGGCTGTATCTACATTCATGCTGTTCTTTTGCCTAGTCCCCACCCATGTTCTAGAAGGATCTCATAGCTTCTTGAAGGTGAACAGAACTCAGACAAGTTCAAACAACACCAGAGTATCATGAGCAGACCTAACTAATCAATCACAGCACTCTGTTAAGCAGAGAGTCCAAACAGCTTTTCCTAACAGTCTCTCTGTTAAGCAGAGAAACACAGCTATGCTTAACCAAACTATGCCAATCCTAGCATCTAACTAGGAGGATGCTACAGATAGGAGTACTTGAAAAGCATAGATAGATGTGGGTTGGGGCCAATTTTGAATATAGAGGAAATCTAATATAACAATCTATACCGTCAGCAATATGTTTTTACATTATTGTCATGCTTACCCCTAATGCAGGTGATCAGGCACTATAGCTTGCTTCTGTGTTCTTCACCTATAGCAGCCCCCTTTCCTATAAGGCAAGCAGTCCTACTGGTACTCGGTTGCCCCCAGGTCTTATGCACAATGCTATAGTGCTTGGCTACCATGCTGGGGCAGGCACAAACTGAGCACAGCAAGCATTTACTTGCAGTTGCCAGACAGGCAGAGTGGTTAAATTGTCAGTCCAGGTATAAGGCAGGCAAGTTCAGGATAGTCAGGGTCAGATCCATAGTCAAAAGGCAGGCAGGGCTCCGGGAGTAGTCAATATCCAATATGAGGTCATCAATGAGGGAATCCAAAGAGCACAGCAGGACCAGCAGACAGGGAGCTTGGAGCACATTTTTCAAACACAATATCAAAAGCATGGGACTGCAGGCTTGGCTGGCTTAAATCAGGTGTGGCCTTCACCCAGAGACTGGCCACATCAATCACCTTGCAGGTAGACAAACAGACAGGGAGAATGTATCACATTCAAAACCAGGATACTCGAATGAGATCAGTAGCTGTGATGGACCAAGAGCGCTAGACGCTCCTGATAATTATTTTAATAAACATTATTAATTATTATTGTTTATTATTGTTTTGTGTTATACTTCATATGAATAACTTCCAGCTCAGTGTCTATTTTTTTTTTTTTACTACAAATATTGCTTATTTTGCATTTCTTCTTTCATTTTAAGGGAAGCCTTTTGACAATCGGACCATCTTGAATGCTGCCGTGGCTAATATAATAGTTTTTGTGCTGCTAAATCGCAGGTTTGAATATGATGATCCAACTTTGTTAAGCCTTATGGACCTTACGACTGAAAATATTAGACTCATGGGGACACCTATGGCCAGGGTGAGCTATTTCCTTATTCATATATATTGTGTCCAGGTGAGGTCACCCTTTAAACATTTTAGTACAGCACATAAGAGGGTACCTTAGCTTTAAATGCCCTATATTAGAATATTTTTCATTATGAATATAGGGAGATGTAATCAAAACTCTGTAGGGTTGATTTAGTAAAGTTCAAAGAAAAATACCCACCCTGTAAAGCCCCATGGATGGGTGAAAAGTGGTTAATATAATGGCATCTGAGATCTACTATTGTGAATATCAAAATTTTATTGAAGTATCAAAAAGTGAGAATAGAAAATGTAAAAAAGTTACTTATGAAATACATGGACATACTGCTTAGTTTTTCCATAAAGACACACACATATAAAATGCATTAAAACAAAGTCATCTGGACGTCCGGACATCAGTATCCGGACATCCAGTAGGAAAATGTATATGTCACAAGATGCCAGCAAGGGAACATCCCCTGTGTTCTTGGATAGTCTGAGAACCAATCAGTGGTCTGTGTCTTAAAAAATTCTGAGTGAATTACTATGTCTCCAAGATTTCGTGCCCTTTGGGCTACCTGTACTACTATCTGACTTTCATATGTAACAAACTACTTGCTTTGCTGTTTCTTCTTCTTTGCAATAATGCTGCCATTTATAGGAGGACTAATTTGGACTCTATCAGGTGACATATGGTCCACAATACTGATAGAGTATTTGGCTACTGGTTGGAATGATACCTTACTGCTCCAATACTGTGTATCTAATTCTAGCACTGCAAAATTTTGTGGGCTTTGTTTCCGTGGATAAATTACACTTTATTCACAGATTACACCATTTTGACTTTCTAATAGAAAATCAGCCACTGCTTCCATACATGAAGTCACCCTATGTAAACCGTCTAGACAAGACCAAGCAGAAGCAGGAGTATTAGCCATTTAGCATTCTGTGTAATCTGATCTATCTGGATTTTTTGACTGTTTTTAAAAGACAAAGTTATCTCTGCTTCCAGATAGTTATTTCCTTGTTTCAAGTTTGCTACATTTTTGGTTCAAGTGGTATTTATTAAATATTTATGCCTTTTGACATCACTTCCTCTCTGTTTTTCAGCTGTATGACATGTTCCCTACATTGATAGATCCTCTACCAGGAATCCACAACAAAATTGCTGCAAACACTCAACAATTGCATGATTTTATGAGAGAAACATTTACCAAGCAGAGGATGGACCTGGATGTAAATCATCAGAGAAATCTTATTGATGCTTACTTGGCAAAACAGCAAGAGGTGAGGGGTTCAGGCAACACGGTGATCCACTGCAGTAACGTTGGACTAAATGCAGCTAGTCTTTTATGTATTCGTACTTAAAATGATTACATAGGTTATGCTATGTTTTCATAGACTATCCTGTAACATAATAAGGAATACAAGACAGTAATGATAAATAATGTAAAATAATATAATACAATCAGTTTAGTTCGACTTATGTCTATGCAAGACGCGCATGAGATCGCCAAAAACTGTGCAGGAACCTTTTTTTTTAAAAACCAGTGCCGCACCACAAAGTCAGAATCGCATCGATTTGAATGGATACATAGGCACAAACACGGTGCAACTTGTCATTCGATTATGAACAGTCAAATCACATGACAAACTGTATTGATGTGAACGGGGACTAAATTATGCTTTAATATTTTATTAGTACCAATGATGTGAACGGGGACTAAATTATGCTTTAATATTTTATTAGTACCAATATGTATTCTAATAAATAATAAGGTATTATTTAAATGTATTTTTAATCAATTTTATGGGGTTCTTTTTGTAAATTTGTGGAAAAACCAGTGCCGCACCGCAAAGTCAGAATCGCATCGATTTGAATGGATACATAGGCACAAACACTGTGCAACTTGTCATTCGATTCTGAACAGTCAAATCACATGACAAACTGTATTGATGTGAACGGGGACTAAATTATGCTTTAATATTTTAATAGTACCAATATGTATTCTAATAAATAATAATGTATTATTTAAATTTATTTTTAATCAATTTTATGGGTGTTTTTTTTTGTAAATTTGTGGACCCTGATCAACTTCATTATGAATTCTAACTATATAATCAGATAGTTTATTATGGACCAATAGCTTTTCAAATGAATTTATGGACACTGGCAATTTTGACTGTTTTTGCTTGTTTTGCTTTTTTATATAAATTGATGAATACTATGAATTTGAATAAAAATAGTTCTGACAATAAGAATTTTTTTATTTATTTTTATTTTTTTCTTTATCATTATTTTATAGCCCTGCAATTTATATAGCTGTGTGTGCAAAGACCTTTTCCCTGCATTTTGCAAGGCGCGGCAGCCTATTCATTTGAATGAGCTGCCGTGCTTTGCAAAACGCAGGGAAAAGGTATCTGCAACTTTCCAGAAATCGCAGCCCACACTACAGTGTGCTTCCCAGTGTAAGTGCAATTTCCAGTATGGGTAGTATACCATTAAGATTAATGCCACCCACCCGCCAGTCCCGCGATTTGTGTGTGGGTGGTTGCAGCTGTGGGGTGGGGGGTGCCGTACCATGCCACGCCCCGCAAAATGGCCCTAGCGTGAACTGAGCCTCAGGGAGATTTACTTTCTCTATGGGCTTGTTTAAATCTGCTTTGCTCTCTGAAGAGTGAACTACATATGCTCTACAGACAGCATTAGACATCCTGTGAGGAAGCATTGCATCGCCTCCTAACCACCTGCTTTAACCCCCTAAATACCGTACAACCATGCCACAACCACACACATTGTGTCTTTAGGACATGCAGAAAAGGGAAATCTCCCCCAATGCACAGAAATTGGAAAAAGACAGGAGTTTTGACCATTCCCAAAATTAAAAAAAAAAGTTTTGTTGCTGTAAACCTACAAAACCGCCTCTTCCAGGTCCCAGTACATAAACCCAGACAGAGCACTGTCCTAATAGAAATCTCAACTTGTTCACAGTGATCTCAGTAAACTTGATTCTGTAGGGAAGAAAGGAAGTTAATAAAAAGACAAATTTGAGGCATTTATACTACTTGAATAAAATGTAATAGACTCTAAAAGTGCAGAGGTGTTTAGAATAATTTGTGATCTGCCCACAAATTTGAATTTTAGTGCAGTCTATTACAGCCCAACTCCAGGCTATTTGTTAATGTCCCCCAGAAGATTTAATTGTAGCACACCCCCCTGAAGAATTGCACTGTGCAAAAAAATGAATGTCCCACAGGATCCCTATGCTGATGGTGACCTGTACTCCCTCCAGAGTTTAAAATCTAACACAGTCACCACTTTTCAGCACTAGGGTCTCTTACTCACTAACCCACAGAATCATTAGTTTCCACCTGCTGTTATCCACCAGTCTATTCCTAGTGAGGGGGAGATAGACTCACACCACCATAGGACAGCTGGACTCATTCCCCCCAAACTTCCTCCTGGTTCTCTCCAGTGAGCTTCTCCAGACCCAACTTGATTTCAGGATTTAAACTTGCAAATAGGCCCCCTCAGCTAAGCCTAGCTGGGACCTTGGTGTCTTCCTGAATCCTGATGGCTTCTTCTGAGACTTCTGCCCAAGGGGGCAGAGCCCCTACACAGGAGTCTTCTCCTGCAAGACTGGACCCAGGAGACTGTCCTTGCTGCTCAAGCCTCAGACTACTTATGGGCTCTCTCACCACCTACTGGACACACCTCCCCAGGAATTGTCTGGAATCCCATAAATATTCAGACTGCTTGTTCTGCCATTCCCACCCACTATAGTTCTAGAATGCTCCAGAAGACAGGGAAAGTAACAGAACAGCAGCCTGTGAAACTCTGAGCAGCGCTAAATAATCAGCCCCTGCTCTGATTATAGTGGAGATAACTACATTTGCCTAGCAGCCTACTCTACACTAGACAGGTGCTACACAAAAAAAAAGCCCAAAAAACAGCTGAGACTGCAATATTCACCACCACTCTAGAGCACATAATAAACTCTTTTTGCCACAAGATGTCTGCCATCTTCTGGGTTGAGTGATGCTGAGTGTCATTCAACCCATAAGATTGAAAACACACTGTATACAGTATATGCATTGTGTCATAGATCCTTTCATTAACTGTGCGATGATGCAGACATCAACACTGACATTAACATGCTATTACAAAGGAAAAAGGGAGAAAAGTGAGAGCGCTTAAAGAAGGAGTGGAAGAGGGGGAGAAAGAACGTGTGACTTCTAGGGGGAAGTAGAGAGACTCTAGACCATATCAATGCATAACTTAGTATGTTGGATAGTCAAAGTAGTGGATTAGGAAATATCAAGGAAGGCGTAATGAGTCGTCAAAGTTCGGTGGGAGGAAATATTCCACCCATGGGGTCCAGATTGACAAAAACCTAGGAACGACATCTAGAATGATGGCTTCCACTTTAGCATGAATCATAGCCTTTGTAAACTTGTTTCTAACTGCTACAGTACACAAAGATGGAGATTTTCACAATCTGCCTATGATCTGTTTAACTGCTATGGTGACTTGCAAGAGGAGTTTAAATTGAGGCTTAGAAAAGCTGGAAGGGCGCACATTTAGGAGGGCTACAATTGGGTCAGGTGGTATTGATTTCATGAAGAGCTTGGATAACATATGAAAGATGTCGACCCAAAAGGCTTGGGCTACCGGGCAAGTCCACCAGATATGAAAGTAGGTCCCTGCCATCGCACAACCCTGAAAGCATTCAGAGGAATAGCTGGGTGTATATTTGGCAATCCTCGCCAGGACCAGGTACCATAGGGTCAAGACTTTATAATTAGTCTCTAGGGCTATTATGTTTTGTCAAGAGGACTTGGTGCAGTCCAAATGCAGGTCCAATTGATGGCCCAGATCTGCTCCCATCTATTGACATAAGAGGGGTGTAATGAGGACTCAGGGGTGGAGAGGAGGGTGTAGATATCAAAGATTAGGCCTATGCAGATCTCTATCACAAGATTGTTCAAAGGAGGACATTGAGTAAGTCAAACGGGGTTGGACAGTATGAGGTGCGTAAAAGTGTGGTAGCTGGAGGTATCTAAAGAGTTCTGACGCTGGTAAAGAGTGTGTCTCACGAAGGGAAAGATTTGAAACCTCTATTGGTCAAAAAGTGGTGGGTACGGAGGAGTTTGGCTGAGGACCAGTGTCTAAAGGATCGCGGGGAGGACCAGGCCGGGGGAAAGGCCGGGTTTCAAAGATAGGAGAGCAGGGGGTTGTGTGTGTGACTGAAAGGAGTAGCGGGATTTTAGTTTATCCCAAAGAGAGATATAGTGAGATGTTATGGAGTTACAAAGTGGCGGGGATTCGATGGCCGCAGCCATAGAAGATTGGCAGTTGAAAGAGGGTTACAATCGATTGATTCAAGGACAACCCATTGAGGAATTTCATGAGCCGCATGATATTTAGGCATTTGTGCAAGATTTGCTGCTTGGTAATATTTAGAAATGTCCAGAAGGCCAAGGCCACCTCTGAGTCTAGATTTGTGTATGGTAGAACTCGATATGCGAGGACAGATGGAGCCCTAAACACAGGTATATATATGCGCCATTGTAGGATACGAAGATAATGTGTAGGTACTGGAATGGGCAGAACTCTAAACAGGTGAAACATTTTAGGGAGAATGGACCTGTAATACTGCCCATCCAGGCCAATGACAAAGAAGACCATTTGGTCATGAGATTCGTAAGGTGGGTCAACATGGGTGAGTAGTTAGCAGCTTAAAAAGTCGATAGGCTAGAAGTTAGTTTAATGCCTAGGAAGGGCATTGAGAGCTGTGACCAAGAAAAGGGCATTTCCTGGTGTAAGCGAGCCAGGTCCTAGGGAGACATTGTGAGCTAACAATTTCTGGGGGTTGACATGGAGGCCAGAAATAGAGCCAAAACCATCAAGGAGCCGGAGGAGGATGGGAGTGGAGGTCAAAGGGGAGGTGAGAAAGAGGAACACGTCATCCGCAAAAAGGCAAAGCTTGTGGTGGGAACCACCTATTTCAAGTCCTCATTTGTCTGGATTAGCTCTTATCAGTAGGGCCTGAAATTAGGCCCATTCTATCCCAATATCAAAGTTATCCAAGGCAAAGCTCCAGTCTAGTCAATGCACCCCAAGGTAGTAATGTTACATATGTCAATGTTTTCTGTATCATTGAATAATGCAAAGAAGACAAGAGAAGATGACTGACCTAGAGACTTCTAGGAGAGGTAAGTATAAAAGCAAACAGCATACATTAGAGCTTCTTTCTGGGGGAGAATTCAAGAGCCCAAAGATATGTACATGCACCTGATGAAGCAATGAGGCAATAAATGCTCACGGATATTTTGTCTTTTTTTCCATCATTCAGGAAAAGTCAGAATCTACACTCTATTTCCATGATGACAACTTAACTGCCCTGGTGGCCCAACTGTTTGGTGCTGGAATGGAAACTACATCCACCACTCTGACATGGAGCCTCCTGATCATGATTAAATACCCAGAAATCCAAAGTAAGAGAAATAGTGGCTTTGCGTTTCTTCACATTCTGTTAATTACTTGATTTGTTCATGATTATTTTAAATTAATAGAATTCATAGCGTTAAAAAAAATAAGGTCTTACTCAATAGAATTTGAAAGTTGCAGGCACTCTACAGATATACCAACTACATGGCATGTCCCTTTTCACCAAGTGCACATATATTTTTTATATATTTTAGAAAGAATAACCAGACAGGTTTAGTAAAGTGGGCTAAAAGAACTCCCTTCTCCACTAACCAGCATAAAAAGAGAGGAAGGCACCTCTAAGTGCAGTATTGACAATTTATTAATAAACAATAGATAAATTGCACTTACAAAATAAATAGTTAAAAAGACTCATCGTGTGGTGTAATAAGATCCAGGTGTAACATCCAGCCACCCAGCAGCAAACTCTGTCCATAGGATCAGGAAGTAGAGCCCAGGATGTGAATGTGCACGGTCTTTTAGCCAGTTTTCTATCCATTTACATAAGTTTTTTTTTCCAAGTCTGTAGACTTTTACTTTACACATTAGCCGTGTGTGGGGAACTGTGTCAAACGCTTTTACAAAATCCAAGTATACCACGTCTACCGCCACCCCTCTGTCCAAGGTTTTGCTCACCTCCTCATAAAAAGAAATCAGATTTGTTTGACAATTTCTGTCTTTTATGAATCCATGCTGTCTGTTGCTTAAAATATTTTTTTGCAGCAAGAACTCATCTACGTGGTCTTTTCTTAAACTATCCAGTATCTTCCCAACTATAGAAGTTAAACTAACAGGTCTATAATTACTTGATTTTGACCCCTTTTTAAATATAGGCACCACATTGACCTTACGCCAATCCAATGGTACTTTGCCAGTCATTAAAGAGTGCTTAAAAATTAGAAACAATGGCTTTGAAATGACAGAGCTCAGTTCTTTAAGGACCCGTGGGTGTATGCCATCCAGTCCAGGTGCTTTATTCTGTCTAAATATTTTGGATCATATCAGTTGTGAGCCAGTGTGGATCATCTTGAGCTGTGTCAATATCATGCCTATTATGGACAAGAGCTCCCCCATGCTCCTTTGTATAAACAGAGCTGAAGAAGGTATTTAAATACATTTTCCTTCTCTTTGTCCCCATCACCCACTCTAGATTATTATGTAAAGGGCCTACATGCTCGGACTGGACCTTTTTACTATTAATATATTTTTGGGGGTTGGTCCTGCTATCTCTTGCAATCTGTCGTTCGTTTTCAATTTTTGAGGCCTTTATTTCCTTTTTGCATATTCTGTTATATTCTTTGTAATGGTTAAATGATGATAGAGTTCCTTCATTTTTATATTTAATAAAAGCTCTTTTCTTATTATCTCTAGCTTTTTTAACTTTGGCTGTAAGCCACTATTATTCATGTACATTTAGGACAGAAACACACACTATATATACTGTATATATATAGATAAACATATATCCATATAAACCTAATATTTTGCATACTTCACTACTGATTGGTTAGAGATATGGCATCACACATACACTATTTCTGCTTTAAGATAAATTTCAACACACTAAATATAATTGGATTACACATAACAACTGGTGTTAATATTCAGTATTCCTTTCTAACAATGGGATCTTGTGTCAAGATAAAATCTTTTATAGATATCTTGCGATATTGTGTTATAATTTAAAATAATTTATTTCTAAATATGTCTGTGATATTTGTAATGGTTTTGTCCAGAAAAAGAATTTAGTTCAGAGGAAGTTTTATGAAAGGTGTTTGTCTCTTGCTTACCCTTCCCAGAGCTAAAACAATGGTAAGTTATTGAATGGCCAGACTGCTAATTTGTTGAATCCAGAGTCTACATACAAGATGTCTCCACAGTTTACATTTATGGGGCCTGGAAAGGCTGGTTAATATTGTTAATTTGCTCCGGGTGCAGTAAGTAGGACAGAAACCCATTGCTGCAAGGTGTCCTTGCTTTTCTCAATTCTGTGCTCACTTAATTTACAAAAGCAAACTATCTCTATAGTTTGAGTCGAAGAGAAAATAAAATATAATTTCTTCTCATATAATTTATGACAGTGTATAGCTAGAGGATTGCTAGGAGCCTGGGTGTGAGTCAGCCTGGGAGTGAGACAGCAAGGTTACTTTAGGTTGGGGCTGAAGGGCTCTACGGGTCAGTCCTCTGGTACCTGTTCATGTTCTGGAAACTTGGAGAAGTTTCTAGAAGCCAGTGGGTGAAGGCGAGGAGGGGCTGATCTGCATATTTATGGGAGTCTGACCAATCCCAGACAGGAGGCCTGGCAGTGTGGGAGATCGGTCTGTAAATATGAGAGAGCCTGGCCTGCAGGGGAGTCAGGTGGAAGATGGAGTGAGGAAGTGCTGCTGGTGTGAAGACTGGGCTGGGGCCCCAGAGAAGGGGAATCTACCTGCAAGGAACTGGAAAGAGGGACCTCCACTGTTTTACAGTCTTCCGGGGAAGGACAACCTGTCAGCAAGGAAAGAAGCCAGCACAGCATAAGGCCTGAAAACAGCTTCACCTTTCAAGCTACAAGAACAGGACAGTGTGAGCACCTCTACGCCCCCTGGCCTACAAGCGAGAAAGCAGTCAGGTCCCATGCCCAACTAGTTCTCCCTGGGATAGCATTCCTATGTGTCTTGGAAGCCCTTGCCTTGGGTTACTTTTTATGACAGCCAGGGATCTGAAGAAGGTTCATTTAAGGGGCTTGAGAGCTCCTAGTAAGGACTGTGTGCTGATCTATTAAGAGCCAGGAGCCACTCCAGAGGGAGTATAAAGTTCAGATCAAAATTTTCTGCTGTTTGTATATAGGCAGTTTGTTCTCCAAGTTGTTTCAGTTCCATTAGGCATCACCTGTACCCTTAGACCCCATCCAAGTACCTTAACCCCTAATAAAACAACAAAACCAAGCTCATGGACTGTTTACTGACTTTAGAAGCATGAGTGGAAAATGTGTGTTGCCTGGCTGTGCAGAAAAATAGAGGGACTCAAAACCAGCAGCTCTCAAGAGGGTAGTGCTACAGAAGTATGGTCCCCAAGTTTAGTTTAACATATCCTATTTTGGGACATATGCTGTATAACAATTAATACAATGAGGGAAGATACAGTCAGGTCCATAAATATTGGGACATCGACACAATTCTAACATTTTTGGCTCTATACACTACCACAATGGATTTGAAAAGAAACGAACAAGATGTGCTTTAACTGCAGACTGTCAGCTTTAATTTGAGGGTATTTACATCCAAATCAGGTGAACGGTATAGGAATTACAGCAGTTTGCATATGTGCCTCCCACTTGTTAAGGGACCAAAAGTAATGGGACAATTGGCTTCTCAGCTGTTCCATGGCCAGGTGTGTGTTATTCCCTCATTATCCCAATTACAATGAGCAGATAAAAGGTCCAGAGTTCATTTCAAGTGTGCTATTTGAATTTGGAATCTGTTGCTGTCAACTCTCAAGATGAGATCCAAAGAGCTGTCACTATCAGTGAAGCAAGCCATCATTAGGCTGAAAAAACAAAACAAACCCATCAGAGAGATAGCAAAAACATTAGGCGTGGCCAAAACAACTGTTTGGAACATTCTTAAAAAGAAGGAACGCACCGGTGAGCTCAGCAACACCAAAAGACCCAGAAGACCACGGAAAACAACTGTGGTGGATGAGCGAAGAATTCTTTCCCTGGTGAAGAAAACACCCTTCACAACAGTTGGCCAGATCAAGAACACTCTCCAGGAGGTAGGTGTATGTGTGTCAAAGTCAACAATCAAGAGAAGACTTCACCAGAGTGAATACAGAGGGTTCACCACAAGATGTAAACCATTAGTGAGCCTCAAAAACAGGAAGGCCAGATTAGAGTTTGCCAAACGACATCTAAAAAAGCCTTCACAGTTCTGGAACAACATCCTATGGACAGATGAGACCAAGATCAACTTGTACCAGAGTGATGGGAAGAGAAGAGTATGGAGAAGGAAAGGAACTGCTCATGATCCTAAGCATACCACCTCATCAGTGAAGCATGGTGGTGGTAGTGTCATGGCGTGGGCATGTATGGCTGTTAATGGAACTGGTTTTCTTGTATTTATTGATGATGTGACTGCTGACAAAAGCAGCAGGATGAATTCTGAAGTGTTTCGGGCAATATTATCTGCTCATATTCAGCCAAATGCTTCAGAACTCATTGGACGCCGCTTCACAGTGCAGATGGACAATGACCCAAAGCATACTGCAAAAGCAACCAAAGAGTTTTTTTAAGGGAAAGAAGTGGAATGTTATGCAATCGCCAAGTCAATCACCTGACCTGAATCCGATTGAGCATGCATTTCACTTGCTGAAGACAAAACTGAAGGGAAAATGCCCCAAGAACAAGCAGGAACTGAAGACAGTTTCAGTAGAGGCCTGACAGAGCATCACCAGGGATGAAACCCAGTGTCTGGTGATGTCTATGAGTTCCAGACTTCAGGCTGTAATGGACTGCAAAGGATTTGCAACCAAGTATTAAAAAGTGAAAGTTTGATTTATGATTATTATTCTGTCCCATTACTTTTGGTCCTTAACAAGTGGGCGGCACATATGCAAACTGTTGTAATTCCTACACCGTTCACCTGATTTGGATGTAAATACCCTTAAATTAAAGTTGACAGTCTGCAGTTAAAGCACATCTTGTTCGTTTCATTTCAAATCCATTGTGGTGGTGTATAGAGCCAAAAATGTTAGAATTGTGTTGATGTCCCAATATTTATAGACCTGACTGTATGCCTGGAGAAGCACGGCATAGCTCAATGGCAGCTGAGGACCTCTAGTGTCTCCATACACAGAAAAAATAATACAAATATAGCTGTGTGCCTTCGGTGAACTCGTGCTCTCAAGTAATAAAATATGAAAAAAATATCTTAAACACAATATGCCATAAAAACTATATGTAAACAGAGCACATCACAAACAGTTAAAATTATATTTCATAAGCTGTAACTAAAACAAAGAAAATTAATGTCCAATTAAATGAGGCTTGGTGATGCAACTTCTGCCGACGTCACTTCT